AATAAAATTTGGGCCCTGGGAGTAAACCAGGAGAAAACTAATAGCATATGAGAGCAAGCACAGAGCAGAAACATTTTTGTTTATGGTACAGTGGGTTTCAGGTCGTGTTCACACGTGCAGCCAGCCAACAGTCATAGTTGGGGAGTGCACAGATGCAGACCCTTGGGAGCACAGGCAGACGACAACATTTACGTCATGAAGGCTACTGTGGACGCCTGAGGTTTCACTGTCGCAGAAAGTATTATTTGAGCCTAATGTGCTGATTATACCAATCAGGATCCACAGGATTCAAGGAGGCAGAATAACACATGAGTGGATTGCACACAGTCATCCACAAGTCGTTGTGTTAATCACTTTCAAGTAGAAGTTTTTCCTTCCAGATCTTATTTTAAGTGCTTTTCTCCATTAGCAAGTATGAAACAGCTGCTGAGCAATGATTGAAGTAGATGGGCTGATATTTCAGCACAGTACGTCACTTTCTCATGGACAGTTCGAGGCTTAGTGAAGGAGATGTTCCTACATTCAAAGAAAAGCATAAAATTCTGGGCTGTAATGTGATATGAAGCTATTGGCTCACCGGGAAAGACAGAACTCCAGGGTCTTCTTCAGGTGCTCCCTCAAGCCCTCCTGGGGGTTGTCAGGCTGGGGATCACTGCCTGTTGATAGAGGATAAAGATTTTGGTAAAATAAGGAGCAACTAAGCTTACGTCTAATCCTCTAAACACTATCCAGACAATGAAATGGGATGTGGGTGGAGAGGATTGTAAAATATGGAGAAGGAAAAAAAGAAAGAAGACAAGCACCAAAAGAGTGTCGTATTTACACACAGCAAATACTCATGCAAGCTAATTTAATGTGTTGGAAGCAATGGCACGGGCGCTAAGAAACCTACTCCTACACGGTTGTATAATCACAGTCATCTTAATACCACCCATTCCTCCCTTAGCCTCGTTGTTTTTGTCAACACTTCTTTCAAGCGGAGGGCGCTTAAAAAGATAAATGTCTCGTAGCAGATCGTGTCTGGAACAGGTCAATGACATTTTAATGATGCAATAAATAACACATAAAACAAATACCTCTCAAGCGGTCACTGTTCGCCTTTAAAAATAAATCTCTTGCCTGAGGACAGACTGTCCCTTAATATTCGACCACATTAGCCGACTGTGTTTGGTTGGAGTTCATTCTAACCTTGAGTTATCCAAGATCAGGTGAAATCAAACATATTTAGATCCCTGTGTGATTGACGAGGCCAACGCACTTAAAATCCTTAAAAGCCTTCTAATAGCCGTGCCTGTGGTATAAATGTGGACATCGTCTCGATTTCAAGTTACTTTGTTTACAAACTTGGGTGTCCACGCCGCCCACATCAAAAATCAGCACAAAAGTATCCATGTGTAGACATGTGGATAAACACCGCTGATACACAACTACTTCAGAGCCTCCTCTGACTAACAACCAATCGCTAACCAGCCCACCTGTGTGCCCTGGCTGCCCAGGCTTGGGGTATTCTGTGTAGGCTGACTCGGAGCACTCCAGAGTGACGGCGGCTGGCTCAGCCAGCATTACTGGTACCGGTGGAGGCTCATCTGGGTCGGTTAGAAGGGGCTCCTTGTAAGCCTTGTCTTCACTGGCTTCATAGCCTGTGACAATCAACAATGGGCATTATGATAATGATTAAAGGCATAGGAATATCACCAGATGTTTAAAAGGGGGGCTGTGAGCATAATAGTAGTTATTTTTATTTATGGACTTCAGAGTAGCTTTACATGGTTTGTAGTTCAAATTGGTTTATTGGAATCTTAAACTGGGCCTTGATCCCGCTCCTCAGCTCAACCTCTAAAACCAGCCACTACCTTTAAACTGTGCTGGTTCTGATTGGCTGCCCCTCCAGCTACAGAAGGTGTGAACAGCAGGTGGGTGGGGGTGATATCATACAGCGTAGATACTCAGTATTTAGATCAGTCTGAGTGTTTGGCTCACACTGTTTACATGACAGATGCTCTCCTCATCATTTGAAATTTTGATTTGATTAATATGAACATATACAGCAGAAGATAAGGAAAAGCAAGAAAACAGCTCCAATGTGAATTGAGAGCAGTGTCCTTTTTAAGTTCCAAGTGCCGATTTTCCAACCTTGTCCCAGTTCAGCAACAATACACCTGTGCAATGACAAATGGACATTATTACCAGAGGCAATCTGAAGCATCTGGCCCGGCACATAAACTCTGCCTTTTCCTGATTAAGATGCAAAGACCATCATTCTGAACGCTCTTTTCCTTTTAGAGCACAACAGATCTTCTTATAGAAATACACAATGATAATGTGAGCAACTTAAATAATGAATAATTATGAATTATTAAAGGCTGGCCAAAAAACTAATGTAATTCCAAAATAAAACCTTTTTTTACAGCACTAATTACATCTAAACAAAACAAGTATTGCCTTTAAAACAAATGATCCATCTTAACATAAATGTAAATATTGCACTACTGGTAATATTGTACTAATAACAGTACTAACAAGTGGTTTTTTGGTCCATTATGCAATGATAAATACATTTACTGGAAATGTTTCTCAAATAAAGTGTACCAAGAAAGACACTGTATATTTTGTGCTACAGACAAACACTATTTCTGGCTGTAGCCTAGCAATAAATCCTGAGAATTAGTGCTGTGGATTTCATTTACACTGAATTAAAAACAAGGTGGGTATGAAGGCAATGTCGAGTCAACAGCAAATTAAAATGACAACGGATCACAAAGGAGAGATGTGCCAGAACAGAATGAAACATGATAATATCCTTCTAAAACCAGAGAAAAATTACATTCAGCTAATTAAGCACATAACCATTTATTAAAACAGTATTGGGACAAATTTTAATACTGTATTTATAACAAGATAAATCGGGGTTAAACAGTGTGGGACTAGTAATGCCATCGTATTCAAGAGCATTTTCCTCTTAATTTGTGTTTGAGGGTTTTAAGCAACCTCCATCAAATCACAGTGCCGGCAATTTTCCTTAAGGTCTGGCTAAACTCTCTTCCGGGTGCTCTATGGAAATACTCTGCACATGAGTGAACGGTACAGTGACTTAAACTGAGAACAGTTTATCTACTCAGAGCCGTGTCCTCCGTGGGAAATGGTTCGTTTTATCTTTTAGATTCGTTTCAAACACAAAAGACTTGGCAGGAGCTGACATAACAGCGACCATAACAGCACAGCACAAAGGCCACTTCACAGATAAAAATAAAAAAGTAAATCTTTTAAGAGAAGTGAAGTCTCTGATTGGAAGTTATCCGTGGGAGGTTCAGTAAAAGTTGCATCCTTTGAACTTGGTGGCTGTACTGGTGAGGCACAACTTTTACTTTAAAGGGAAACGTTTCCAATTACTTTCCACTTTTCAAGTTTCAGTAAAGCTTGGTGAGGAAAATCTACGTATTTCCAGACAAGTTTGTGTTTCCCATGGAAACTACAGGTGATTTCAGCAACCAAAACAATCACAAGGTGGTTTTTCAACAGCATTTATTACCATTTTTAAATGGTCAATCTCCAGCAACCACTCGCTAACTGGTTGAGGAACACATTCTTCTCTAGTGGCCAGAAGCTGTGATGAGGTCACTAAACAGTCTCCAGGCCTGTGGGACTCAAATCCTCAGACCTGCTTACTATTTCAAACGTTAGCACAAAGCACACCGCAAAAGTGAAAATAAACACAGATGTGGCTAACTAGAAGCGACAAGTGATCGAGTCCTCCAGACAAGGGTCTTGTGAAGGAGCCCACATGTCTTTGCTAAATACATCCACACACTGCTTCTGTGGGTGTCATCTGTCTTAATTTAGCACATCACTCCCAGCAGTCTCAGAAACAATGCTGTTATTTATTAATAAAATATGAACAATTATAATGGGGAAAGCACCGTTTCATCGTCTAGGCAACGAATGACACCCACCCCAAATTTGAATATTTGAAAATCTTGACCTTTACTTTTGAAGTCATGTCCACATCAGGCAAGTGTGAAACATAATGGTGAATACTCAAACATCAGATGTTTAATGTTTAACCCATGAGTGTCAAACATGGGGCCTGTGGGACAGAATGGGAACCCCCACACTAAACCATTACTGCTGATACGTAGCACATACATTTTTAATTTTTAATTTTAATTTTTTCCATTTTACGGCCTTCTAAGGCTACGTTTACACTGCAGACGAAAGCGCATCAAATCCGATTTTTTTTTACGACCCATATCCCATCATGGTGTGACAGTGTGAACGGCACAATATTTTCAAATCCGATCTGGGTCACTTTCGTATGTGGTACTGAATCCGATACATATCCGATGTTTCAGAAAGCGACTGCTGTTTGATGGTCATGTCGCATTAAATCCGTCTTTTATGTCACTGACACAAGACAGACGCCAATTATCAGCGCCAGAGAAGACATCGTGAATGCTTCCTGGCCATCCGGTGAAACTGTTTGGAAGACAACGTTGGAGAAACGTGAACATTTTATTTGTACTGTATAATCTGCAGATTCTGACAGAAATCTGCAACTATCCTTTGAAGCACAGCTCCTCTAAAACAGCAATAAGGATCATTATTAGGTTATTTACGTTATTATGTAAATAACAAAATAACTTAAAGCAAAAATTGGGAAACATGAAGTCCGAAGTCTTTATATTAAGGGCCATCAGTCAAACAATACTGTTGGTCTGGGTCTAAACAGAGCGCGTTGTGTGTGACGTCTTCTTTTGTGCATGCGGCCGCTTTGAGCGTTCACGTGTTTGCTGTCACATTTTATTTGTAGTGTGAACGAGCAGACAAAAAAAATCGGATTTGATCAAAAAATCGGAATTGAGCATTAAGACCTGCAGTGTGAACGTAGCCTACGTGAGAAAGGCATTGCCTACAGTCTGAAACGCAGCACCAAGGTCAGTAAGTAAAAGATGAACCATTAAATAAAATAAGTTCCTGTTTCTCATCATCTGCCATATAACTTTCAGGTGGTTTTGTTTTGTTTAAACAATGGGTCCACAGTAAATGAAGGACCCAAGTTTGAAGTCAATATGAATGTAAAAGGAAAAACAGGTGACAGGAATTATAATAAGTGGCTTAAATTCATAACCTTTAATAGTCCTTCTTTGTTTGTCGACAAAGGAATCAGAATAAGCTTCCATGTGCATGTAATGGTTTAGCATACTGACAGTGAATGGGGACCTTAGAGGAACCAGCCAGTATCATGACTAAATCACTGTTACCACTGCAGGCGTGGTGTGAATTTTCCGTCACAGACCACTACATCCATGGCCCAACTGCATTAAATCAGCAGTGCTCTGTAATAAATTTCCCATAAATGTCTTTGCGGACGTGGAAGATGAAGTAGGCCAGGACGTCAGTGCGCGTCAAACTGAGACTAATCAATAATTTCTGTTTCACCACCATGTCCTTGTTGCCTCTGTGGCTAAACTTGGCTGAGCACATTGAAGCGAGTGATTACTGTCATTTACAAAGAAAGAAGTGTGACTGGGGCCGGAATATTCATAACTCCTTCTAGATTGAGTATGAATGATTAAAGGGGTGTCTCCTGTGTGGTGGGAAAAGGGAACCAGAGTGGACAAAGCAGGTTTTTACACCAGACTGTGCCGTTTGTCACTACTCGATTATTACAGACTTAGCAAGTAGACTACATGCCAACATTTCACTTTCTTTCTACACCTCAGCTTCAGATTAGCTGTATACTATTTTCAGTTTCTCCGCATTACATTAATAAATTAGCTGCTGGCTATGTTCACCTGCGTCACGCTGCCACAACCACCAAAACCTACAATTCTCCACTTTTTCAGGTCCAGTATTTACCTGCAAAATTTAAAGGTTCTTTTTGTAAAGACCCTCTGAAAACTGAAAACTTTCACCACATGGTGGCAGCGTTTTACCAGAAGGTTTTCATGCAGCTGATCAGCCCAACGTGCATTAAACGGACTACTTCTCATTAATGTAAATTTGTAAAAACTATTAGTTACCAAAGTCAGCACAAGTCAGCAAAATACAACAGTAAAATATGAATGCTAACGAACACTAGCTTGAATTATGTTGGTGTCATGGTGAACACTGCACTTACTCCATGTACCATCTTGTGGTCAACATGGGTGTTATGCAAGACTGCAGTCTGAACTTATTTGAACGTCAGTTAATATCTTGCAACACAATTTCATCTCTGTTACAGCCCAGAAGAATGGTGCTAGAGGCAGCGCAGAATCATTTTGCATTTAGCGGCTACGTTCTCTGGAACAATTTTGTGCACTTTTGTTGCTTTTTTTAAAATATTTAAGATTAAGATTTAAGATTCTGGGTGTCAAACATGCAGCCTGCGGTTAATACCTCACCCACCAATGACTGCCTAAGTCTAATCATCCCATTTTTATCAATGAAATACTAGCACTATTACTACGTTATCTATGTCCAAACGTGAGAAATGACAAACCTGCACCTGAACTCCACACTAGCTAAAGAAAATGCTAAAGAAGGGCTCTGCTCGGGCTCAAACCACCAACTTCTCACTGTGCTGCCACACGTAAATATTTTCACAATGTACTTCTGCCTGTTTAGGGACGTGTTCAACATTATTTTGCAATTATGTTGAACATGCAATAGTTTTAGTGGTTAGCCTAGCTTGAAATAACACTGGGTTTGAAAGAGGACCATAATCTATAACAAGTCTGACACCCCCTGTCTTATATGGTGCCTAACATATTAGGAGTTTACCTGCATATAAAAAGGGTTTGGGCCTTCTGCTAAAGGAAAGCCACCTTGAGTGTGACAAAACTATTTGGCGTGTTTAAAAAGTGGAGTTAGATTAATTAGATTTTGGTTTATTAAATCACTAGTAATGTCACAAAAATCCACAGACTTCTATTAAGTCAGGTAACACAATCTCTTTGCCTTAGCCATGCATTTACCAAACATGGTTATATGCACAATAATCCACAAAGACCATTTATAGGCAGAAAAATTCCTGTTAATGCTGATTAATGATTCAATGCTATACTGATAAACCATTTTAGAAACAGGAAACGTTTTATGTTCTTATCTATGCTCTGTATTGCATTATTTCGATATATCTGAAATGGAGAGCAGTTATACTTTGTTTTGCACTATAGTGGCCAAAAGTCAGATTCTAAGTATATAAGAAGCCAGTTTTTGTGCATCAATGACCTTCTGGGCCGGGATCGGCCGAACTATCGCAGCCTTCCTTCCATGGCTGCAGGGCAGCAGTTGTGGTGTCGGCAGTCCCGCTGGGGTCCAGGCTAAACATGTGGTTGGCCCATGCTTTCGCATTGGGGTTGAGGTCCGAAACCTTGGCAGATTCCTGCAAAAGAACAGAGCC